AACTTTGAAGAACAATTTTTTTTTAAAACATACAACGCTTCGAACACCTTTGGTAGTGGAACTCAGTTGTAGTTCAATCATTTTTGGCTTATTCTAAGAAAAACTAATTGATCTGCCATAGAATAAGTTCGCATGATTAAATTTTAAGATAAAGCCTCTTTGATAAACTCCACATCAGCGACAAAATCGCACATTTTTCATGATAGTACCCTACCCATGTAAAAAAAATGACTAAAAACGAGATTATAATCGATTTTTTTCTGATTAAAAATCGATTATAATAGCACGATGTCCATCATATTTTAATCAAGTTTTTCAGATTTTTCTTGAGTAATTAATTTCAATAGATTGTTTTCGCAAAAATAGATTAAAATCGATTATTCCATTAATTTTCATCAGAAAGTATAATATTCAATCAATTTTTTGTGATTTTTTGCATAATAATCGATTTCAATCGGATTTATAGCCCATTTTTTCCATGAGTTCTGCATACATTGTAACCAGAACCATTGCATAGCTTTTTATGAAACATCCCATAAGTTATTTCTAAAGATCTTCCCCGAATCACAGCATCGGTGACTAATTAGGGTGTGGGTGTGATTAAAGAGAAGAGTAACACCCACACCCACACCCTTTGACTTGATTTACTTAAGATTTTCAATTGGCCTTTTTGTAATATCACAGAAAAGGTTTTTTCTAAAAAACCGAAGAAAAGGCAAAAAAAAGGTACTCGATTTCACAGTAATTGCTAGAAAATCAACTTCGAATTGGCGATTTGAAATCACGTCCAATAATTGAAAATTCACTGTAAACAGCACCGGAAATACGCTTGTTTTCAAAAAGATCAATTGGAAACCTTACGGAAACCAAGTCAGAAAACCAGATATATAAAATTCAATGTACTCTTATGCTCTCTTTCCAACGGTGAAAATTGCAGCTCTCTATCTTGTTTCTGTTGAAAATTATTCAAAAAATACTTAATCGCATTTCTTCCAACATATTCTTTAACCTAACCGTTACATATCGTAACAAACAATTCTTTATCGAAATTTTCTTATTACTATATTATTTGTAGAATGACGAAATATTACAGCAAAATACTGCATTGTTTTTACTATCATCCCATATAAAAAGAAAATTTGTTCAAGCTTATAGCTTACTATACAGAGATGCGCTATTGCTGCCATTACTTTTCGATTGTTCTAAGTGAAATGTCTTTACTATATGCCATTATTTATACAGAGAAATTTATAAAAATCAATTTTTGAATATTCACGGAACAATTGAATATGTATATATTGATAGGTACAAACTGACGAAGAGATTAACATTCAATTTACTCTTGGTGTACATTGTAGTAAAAAAATATACCATATGTTTTTTATATGTTTTTATTCTCTAAATTTTTCTTGTGATTTCTAGTTAAAATTAAATGCAATGCGAGGAGTAGTCAAGTCTACTCTTCTTTACTACATATCAATTATCAAAAACAAAAACAAACTGCAATAGTCTTAAGTAAAAAGACCGAGAGAGAAAATTCAGTTGCAGCACACTGTATCAGAATATGTGGAATGGGACAAAGTAGAAGAGAAGTTGTTACTATTAGAAACTTTAAGAGTTATATGAGTATGACATTGTATATCTTCGTGAAGTTATAATAACAAAATTTTTCTCAGAATAACTGGTTAGCTAATTGATATATTAAACGAACCAGTTTTTCGTCGACTAAAGTCAAGAATTTCAACTGATCGTCCGATCTGGTTAAAAAATATTCAATTGATTCCAAATTTGTTCGGGCAGATTATAACGTTTGTAGTGCATGACTATCGAAAAGATTATCGTGATTCACTTCTCACTTTGACATTTTATCACTGACAGCTCGTCGTCTAACATATCCTGAGAATTTCATGTCATTTGAACATTCCTAGGCTGAGATCGATTATTGAGAGGGCCTTAATTGATCAACTAAACGTTTTGCTAACATTTTACCGTAGAATTTTTCATAAACATCTTTACCTTCAATATAACTACAGTGTGAATGTGGACTTGGATCTTCTATTATTCAACACATTCCACCCACACCAGTGCCCTTTCACGTATCTCATAGAGAACGTCGAAGATTGACTAGAATGTGGGTGTGAGTGTCGATCGATTCTAATTCCACACCCACACCCATACCCTCTGATCAAACGTTCGAATCCACCTATCTCCATCTATCGTTCTGTTTTTTTTTGTTTTATTGACGAGTCTGGACAATATGAATAGATTAGACTTGACTGGTGACAAAGACGTTCTCCACTTGACATAGAATGACTTCTATAAATTTTAGACTAGTCCAAATGCTGAAGCATGTCATTTTATGTACAATATATTAGACATGACTACGGCTCAAGACGCATTAGACTAGTCTGGACGTGGTTTCCAGAAATTTCTGACTAGTCCAGATATAAAGTACGACGTTTCATGTGGAACAGACTAGACTGGACTCTCAAACAAAATATTTTGGACTAGACATGATGAGTAATACTGACGTTTCAGACTATACATGTTGCCCGTCCTACCCCTTTTTTTGCTCGCCTGGATCTAATGTAGATTATTCCAAAGATGATTTCGTTATTTTTTTCAAAATACACAGTAATCATAAATGTAGGATAAACAAAGACAAATATTTTTTAATTTGTATTTAGATTCTTACAAAGAAAACATTTGTATTGAGCACATATTGATTAATTAGTAAAAGAAAATATCTATAAAAAAAAACAATGTCAGTCGATCATTAATTTTTATACTACATGAGTACAACAAACAACTTCTATTTATTTTCAATCAGAGTGTGGGTATGTGAGTGCTTGTTTGAATTTAGAGAAGACCCTACACTCACACCCTCAATTTGTTTTTATAGAGAGAAATCAATTTTTTACTGTAAAATTTTATTTGACAATACAAAATCGAAATGAATCTTTGTTGATTCCAGTCAAAATAAGATTTATCCATAATAGAATACTTAGCAAGAAATATTCTCAATATGAAGCTAAAAATAGTTCTTGCCAAATTAGTCTAATTTTGAAAGAGCTTTTTGGAATATAATGACGGATTGAGATAGTAAAATAGTAGTTGTTAAATGTTGAATAACATGATAAACATGAGTTTAAAAGTTTCTCTTTGAAATCGAATTTATTCATGTGAATAAACGTTTTGAATTCTCATAAAGTAAAATTTTAGTTTTGTTTTTGAGTAATAATCGAATGTTTAAAGAGATCGATTAATTCTATCATTCGAAATCTTTGTTTCGTCTCATAAAACTAATTTATTGGCAAAAACTTTCTCATAGCTATTGAAAGTTTCAACAATCATTTTTAATTTTCAATAATCAGTTTTTCTTTTCGGGAGGTAATAATAAAAGGCCGAAAATCGAAATAAAACTAAAAAGTATGGTTGGCCATCTATGATTCAAACCGATGGTAACACCAATCATATTTTTCGGTCAGTCTTTTATGCATACCCTTTTTTTTTGTTCTATATGAAGTAAATAATTATAAACATTTGAAAATTTCTAAATCGACTAAATAAATAATTATTGTTTTTATATTGGAATAAGCTGATAAATAAATAAACCTTTGAAATAAATCTATTTTCAGTTCAAAGCAAATGTATTCGTCAATAAAATTTGTAAATGATTTATTAAAAAACACATTTATTTATTGTTGAATGTGCATCATCAAATAAATTAATAAATTTATGTCGATGTTATATATTAATATATATATATATGAAATGTTTAGTTTGTATGTTAATGTTATATTATTTATATATATTAATTGATTTTCATAGTTCAATATGATTAGAAAAATTGTTTGAAGATGAATATCATTTAATAATGACACATATTGATATAACAAAAATAGAAGAAAACGTTGACAAAGTGTTAGGTTCACCAAAAAATCTTCTTAACAATCTTTTTTTTTCTAATTAAAAATGTATATTTATGTACTTGTTTAATCGATCCAGAAATAATTATTCGTTTAATTTTACGTAATTATATTAGTTAAATGGAATTGTGAAAATTTTAAACAAGTTCAAGTTATTAGAATGACATGAGCACAAAAATGTCGTTTATTAAAAACTAATATTAGATTAGCATTTTGTTTTAGGTAAATCATTTTCGATTTTTGAAACTTAATTTTTTTTTTCAATTTTAATAAAAATTTAAAATTAGATTAAAAAGAATAAATTCAAATGCATAAGTTTTATTCAATCTGCTTTATTCGATAAAATGTACTGAGATTGTCGTAGTTAATTGCGCATGTTATTTCACATTTTCCTTACAACTGTCGACAAAATTGTGAAGATTTGTTTGTTCTTTAGAGCATTTTTAAATGGAAAATGAACTAAATGTAAATCAGTTGAATATGAATATGTTATTGAAATAATTTATATTATTCAACATGATTAGATTGTTATTTTTCTTGATCAGTTGTACGAACATTGTTAGATATTCGGTTGTCATTGATGTTACATTTCATTTTTCTGTGTATATTCTGCTTATTAAAATCGAATGTATCTAAAAGAAAAATTTAGAAAATTTGTTAGAGTTTTATTTTGTGTTTATTCATTTCTGTAATTCATAAATTTATTTAATAAAAAAAAATATTATATTTCAACAAACAGACATACGAAATGTTTTTTTCAAATATTTCATATTCAAGAGAGGAAAATTGAAATCAGAAGTATTTTTATGACAGACAACAAAAATTTTTCTTTATTTTCAGATGAAAGGTTAAATTATTCGTTGAGAAATTTATTTAAACAATATTTTAAAAGAAAAAAGACTCTTCTCAAGAAAAGAATCATTTCAATCGAAGAGTACATTTTTGGAAAGGATGAATGGGTGGGACTTGATCTAAAAATCTGTAAAAACAAGAAAAAAAAACGATTTTCTTCATCGTCTAATATAAAACGTCAAATCCATTCGAAGTTCATTTATATTGTAGATTTAATCAATGCATAATCAAAAATCGAGTTATATCAATTGGTCATATAGTGGATCAACAGATATGTCGTTTGGAACTGGTGCAACAACTTCTGAAAAGATACTTGGATATGGAGCAGGTCTCATTGCTTTGGCATTTTATAGTTATTTCTTTTTGATGAAAATCTATCCTTGGAATTCTTGGCAATATCTTTTAGCTTCTCTATTAGCTTTTGATATTGCTGGAGGTTTAGTTTGTAATTGTTTAAATTCATGTAAACGTTTTTATTCAACTTCCCTTCAATCAGAAGAAACTTCAATTACAGTACGATTATTAAAACGACATTGGTTCTTTACAATAATACATATTCATCCATTGATTATCCAATGTTGTTTTGGATCATCATACATTGGTATCTATGGAATATTCTGGTATTTTGCACTTCAATCTAGTGCATTTATTGTGATGAAAACACCATTGTATTTACAACGTCCAATGGCAATGTTACTCTGTTTAATTGCTTTGCTATTTAATTCTTATATTATTCGAGCATTGAATGGATTTGAATGGTTGATTCCTGCCCTTTTCATTAAGATTGTTTATGGACATTTAGTTCAGGAAGAACCCTATCGACCTTTAACAGAGAAACATCTTAATCATTCATCAAACTAATCATTTCAACAACTTCTTTATTATTTCATTAAAGTTGATCAAGTTATTTTATTTTAGTTGAGAAAAATAGATTGAATTTTTATTTCTTCGAATAAACTTAAGAAGTATCATGTTGAACCGACATAGGAAAATTTCGCTTTTTTCGTATCTCCATAAAATCATTGTAGAAGAAACATCAAAATGGAAAAACCCTATTTAAGGCGAAGATCTTTATTTTTTGAATTGGAATGAAATTCCATCGATCTTGAATAGAGAGGAAAGAGTGTAGGATGTAGTTTGGGTTTAACTGTGAATATGTTGTTAAAGAACAGAATAAAACTCATACCCTCAAGATTGATCAAATTTTCGATAAGTTGAATCATATTATGTGCGATTTTCGACATCAATGTAAAGTACTTGACGTTGTTTGACAAGTCGTCAAGGAGTTAATGCAACTTATTATTCATTGTTCAGAAATCTTATAATATGAATACACTGGATATCTTCCTCGACTAGTCAAAATACTCTGTCGACCTTCTGTGTACATTGAGGAGGTGAGGTTATTTGATGTATCTACCTTGATATCCTATCGACCATCAATGTCGGCATGAAGGAGCAAAAAAAAAATGGTAAAAAAAAATGGGTTTCTCGTTCGAATCCCAAGAGAAGAGTGTTTGTACGATTGGGAAGAACAATAAAAAAACGAAAGAGATTAAAAGCAAATTAAAATCATATGCGAATGTGTTTTTTGAATAACAATTTTCATTTGATGCAAGAAGAAAATTGTTTTGAAAGATGTTCAAATATGTTTCTTTCCTCTCTTTTTCTTCTTCTCAATTAATTGAGTAACAGCTCGAAGATTGATTCGTGCCAAAACTAGATCTGGATGTCCTCTTGGAAGAGGTTTCGTATTAATTTGAACAATACTATTGAAACTTCGTTGAGCAGCATTGAGAGCTTGTAAATTGATTTGAATGATGCCAATATTATCGAGTAATTCAACAATCAATTGTGAATCAGCTGGAAGAATTCGTTCATAAATCGTCAATACTCGTATGATGATGTTAAGAACTTCTTGATGATTTCTCGAATCTTGATAAATACTAGCGAGCAGTGCTAAAATGATATCAAGCAAAGTTGAGCATTCTAAGTGATTCAATTTTCCCGGATCATTCGATAAGAATTTATTTATGTGCAATACCACGAGGATCTTCTCACCGTTTACAGTAACTATCTGAAAATTCTGCAAAAAATTGCAAGATTTGTATAATAAGATCACTTCATGAATTTATGGCGTTGAGAATTAATTCTTGTTAGCTATCTTCATTATCGGTTTATTTCATGTTACTACTTTGTCAATCAGTTTTGGACATAATCCATTGTCAAATGTGGAATTTTGAAGTAGTATAGTTAGTTGATCTACTTGATGCACGCAAAAAATCTAATCAGTACAAACACTGAGAAATTGATTGAAGTTGAGGATGCTATTGAACTGTTGAAAATCTCGTGGTTGCGCTTCAAATTGGACGAGACGAAGGGAATCATTCATGATGCATAACCGATTGTTCTTTCCATATCACCGATAGCAGGTAACAATCCTGATACTGATGTAATAGAATATTCAAATTCTCTCGTTCGTTGCATATTCTCGATCAGTTCGACGCACTCTATCTAACAATATATAGAGCAAAGCAAAATAAGGACTGTTTAAATTTTGACCTGCCGGCAGCTTACACATGGGCTAATGCAATTGCGCCGAGAAAAAACGTCATCGTTCTTTTTGCAGTGGTGGAAATGCAATAGAAGTTTTGCACAGTTTTGTTTTAGCGAAGCAATAACAAGACGCATATATACGTTGCTTTTTTAATTAAACGTTACTTGTAATATTTAGTGAAACAGATTAACGGATCGAACAGTTTCTCTTTGAGAAACTAAGTAGCCCCAAATAATTGAGAAATTTTACATTAGAACGAACACTTATACACTTAACGTCTATTTTATTGTCGTCAAAAAATGCTACACTAACGGCAACAATCAAAATTAGTGCATAAAACTAAACTCGCTTGTCAGTAATCGATACTCTGGCTATTCTAGTGAACTGCTATATACTATGAAAGACACGTGTATATTCTTAGCCTCATTGTGTGCATACTGATCTTAATCAATTTACTCCGTAAGATCTGTAAACTACGGCGAATGCACTCTTAGCAGCTGTATAAAGGAGTTCGTACAAAACATGTTATATGAATGTATGCATCACTCTTTTTTTTATCATTCGCATCATGCAGTTCATTTGCTTTTGGTAGATATAATCGTCATGATCTATTAGGATGTGGATGTGGGTATGAGTGAAGAGACGATAAACACCCACAGTCACCCACACCCAAAATGACTTCATGCGGCTTGCCAAGAAAAATTTTGAAGTACGGTATTTATTATTTGTTTTTTTGATAATCAAAGACTTACAGTCAGAAAGCAAAAGAACGTGGAAAAAACCAAGTATATGTGCGCACATTCGTTGCTTGCCTATTGTTACTTTTTTTTCAGAAGAGCAAACGAAAAGGTAAATTGTAATAGTCAAAATTGAAACATGACGTCTATAATAAATAAATAAAAATTGAAATGCGTTTTATTTTTGTATTCATTTACAATACAAAGGATTGAGCAAGGCAGTTAAATTTTACTAGACGCTAGACCTATTCTGAAAAAGAGAAACTAATATTATATATTGGTGAATAAGATAAACATGAATATTCCTTCAGATAATTATTCGATGAAAAAACTTTCATGTGAAATTCTAAGCCGAAAGAGTATAAGTATTTTAATTTATTAAGTATATTCATTTTATTGTAGAATGATAATAGAAGCTTGATAGTCTTTTCTACACGTTTCTTTCGCAAATATGAAGAAAAATGTCGAGCAATATAAATACTTTTTATTGTTGATTTTTAATGTTATCCTATAATTTGCTAACAGTGAAAATCAAATAGTTTTTTTTATATTGTTGTTCAGATCATAAAAAATGGAATATTTTAAAAGTTCCTAAGCTATTTGTGAATGAATAATCACAATTAATGTATATTTCATCTATGAAATAGTACTATTCAATGACAGTGTATGAAAAATACGGTAATTAGTTCGTTCATTTTAACTATTTTTTTCTTACTTACTCAAAGATATCGAAAATATTTCATAGAAGTTATTATCAATAGTTTAAATGATACATCAAAGAAATGTTATGAATAAGTCTCTATCAGATAAGCGAAACTTTATTTATAGCATTGAATATTGTGAGAACGATAAGGTCGCTTCTTTATTATTTTTAAGATTTCAAATGGTGACACGACTGAAAGTTCGAAAATAGTCTTATATATACAAATTGAATCCGTCAGCCAATATTTTTTCACATAGCATATTTCATGATGAATTTCAATAGGTCGTCAATACGTAGAATTTACAAAGCATTTCGTGTTTTTCACGTTTGCTCGTGCTAAAATGTATTAATATAAACGAATCTAAGTTTTTATATTCTAGTAAAATATAATATAACAACCTAATTCTTTCAGAGTTAAATTCTATCATAATCATTTAAGTAATATCGAGTTGTGATCAAATCGATGGCCATATTATCAAAGTATAAATTAGAAAAATATGAATTCGGTACTCATATTCAGAAAAAACAGCAACTGTATGGACTATCGGGAAAAATGATATACGAAGGTGGATGGACATCAGGAAGAACAGATGCAATAATTATTGTTGAAATGAATGAAATGATCCCTGAACGTGAAGCTCGTTTTTATTTAGAAGTGAATGATCATCGTAATATTATTCGTACATATGGTTATGTTGAAAATACTTTAAATTTAACAATATTTATACAAGAATTTGCAGAACTGGCAGATTTAGCTGGTGTATTAATGGATAATCAAATTCCAATATCTCAAACGATATTAGTTGAAATGTTTTTACAGATTGCTGATGCTATGAGTTATATTGCAAGTAACAAGATTGTACATTGTGATTTAGGTTGTCGAAATGTACTCGTTTTTCGATTGGATTCATTTGAAGCAAAAAATAATTTAGTTAAAATAACTGATTTTGGTCTTGCACGTTGGATTGAACAACCTCCTCCTAATGAAAAAGAATTAAAGATACCAATTCGATTTTGTGCACCTGAAATTCTTCGAAATAATCATCACTCCAATTATTCGGAAAAATCTGATGTATACTCTATGGGTGTTTTAATGTGGGAAGCTTTATCAAACAGTGAAATTCCCTATTCGTCCATTGCTGAGGATGATGATGTCATACAAAAGAAATTAAACAATGAGAAACTTAAAAAGCCAACTGATTGTGATCATCAACTTTGGGTACTCATGAATAAATGTTGGCATGAGGATCCGGAACAGCGACCTACATTCGACGAAATCAACAATAAATTATCATACATGGAAGTTTCGAAGGTACAACATCAGCAAACATCTGATGGATCCTATAAGTAAGAAATTTCTATTTAGCTTAATTTATTTGCCATAGTGTTACTCTGTATTAAATGTAACCATAATTTGAGTTTTCAACTAATTTTGGCATCAACAATGTTTTTGATAAATAGGATGAATTTCGATCAATAATATAATAAGATTTTGCTATCGATTTGAGTGTTGTACCAGAATTAAAAATTGTTTCATTAATTTTAAGTTGATATGATTCAAGTTAATTTATTGATTAATTCTTTTTCTTTTTCAGGACACGAATAAAATATGATTATAAACTTAATGTTCATGTACAAATAAAAGGTTCGTCGAATCGTCAATTGCCTGCAATTCATCAAGCAGAATGGAAAACAGATGAAACATCATCCATTGTTTTGATCGAGAAGACAGAAGAGTTATCAGAGAGTGAAAAATTATTGTATACTACATACAACAAACATGATCATATTGTTTACACATATGGTTTTGTTGAAAATAATCGTGGATCAATAATGATATTACAAGAGAAAGCACCTCATGGTAATCTTCGAGAACTACTCGATAGTAGTCAATTCAATCCATCACCACAAGTTCTCATCGAAATTTTCAGTCAAATTCTTAATGCTATGATTCATATTACTGATCAGGAACTAGTACATGGCGATTTACGTTGTGAAAATGTTCTTGTATTTAAAATGGATTCATCAGAGCCCAAAAGAAACCTTGTTAAACTAACAAACTTTAGTTTGGCACATGAAAACGATCCAGCACTTGTTGATGATAGACGACTTACTATTTCAGTACGATATTGTGCTCCGGAAATTATTCGAAGTGCAGGTCGATCAAATTACTCTGATATGTCGGATGTTTATTCAATGGGTGTTTTAATGTGGCAAGCTTGCTCGAATGGAAAACTTCCATATGAATCTTCAACAAAAACCAGCGAAGTTCGACAACGAAAATTGAATGGCGAAATATTACCAAAACCATTCATGTGTGATAAGCAAATATGGGACATTATGAAAGATTGTTGGCTTAATGAACCAAACATACGATTTAATTTTAAAGAGATGAAACGTCGGTTTTCGAACATTAATCACGAGTAAGTGAAATCTATTAAAATGGATTTATAGGCGATAAAATGTTACCACAAAATTTAAAGTTTATGTTCAAAAAGTTAAAATATATTTCTGTTTTCTAGTTTCATAGAGACTTCTAAATATGAGCTAAATGTCAATGTCAAACAGTTACGTCACCTAAATGGCAGATTCTATAAAGCACAGTGGATTCCAAAGAAAGAACCATCGATTGTATTAATGACTATGAACGAAGAAACAGCAGAACGAGAAGCATCATTCTATATGAATTTCAAATCTCATCCTAACATTATTGATACTTTTGGCTTTGTTAAAAATGATCATAGATTGATCATGTTATTACAGGAAGAAGCATCCTATGGCGATCTGGAAACATTATTACAAAAGGGAAATTTTCAACCATCAGAAAAGGTACTTGTGGCAATCTTTTTACAGATCACTGAGGCGATGATTTATATTGCCAATCAGAAAATTGTACATGGAGATTTGCGCTGTGCGAATGTACTCGTTTTTCAAATGGATTCAACTGATTCAAAAAGAAATTCTGTTAAATTAACTAATTTTAGTATGATGTGTCCGATTGATCATCCAGTTTCAACGAGAAGAGTACGTGAGCATTTAATACAATACTATGCTCCAGAAATTTGCCGATTTGACAATCAATCAAAATATACTGAATTCTCTGATGTTTATTCAATGGGTATATTGATGTGGCACGCTTGTTTGAATGGAACAATACCTATTAAACGCCGTACAACTAATGGTGATATTCAACAAAAACCGAAAGACTGTAATGATCAACTATGGAGTGTCATCGAAATGTGTTACTGTGATGAACCGACTATACGACTGAGGTTCAGAGAAGCGAACACTCAGCTTTTGAAAATCAGTTTTGAGTAAGCCATTGACTTACTCGTTGATTCATCTTTGAACGAATGAAATCACTTTGAATTGGACTGCTATCCAGTCAGTCCTGGAGATGTGCACGGGGCCAGAAGAAAATTTTCTCGTCTCGGTAAAAGATGTACATGCTGTTTCATTAACTCCATTTTAAAAATATTGTTTCATGGTACATTTTGTAGAGAAATATTTTTTCTCTTTCAGTCTATATATTTCAAACTAAATTACAAGTTTTCTTTATTGATTAATTTATCAAAACAATGACCGAAACCAATCTAGTCTCGATTATTTTATTTACTAAATTAGTCAATAATAAAGACTTGTAATTTAGTTTGAAATATATGGACTGAAAGAAGGAAACATTTCTCTACTAAATATGCTGCGAAACCATATTCTTGCAGTGAAATTAATAACACAGTATATAAATCTTTTATCGGGACCAGAAATTTTTTTTGACTTCGTGTACATCTCTAGTCAGTCCTCTCCCAATTAATTAATTTAGTAAAGTATTATTATATAGTAATCTATTTTAGCCTTTTAGTATATGAGACGATGTTCAAAATAACTAACATACAATACTTTCCACTCATCTGAGGAATATTTATGACAATCTAAAAATTCAAAAATTTATTTGAACTATTTGAGTCAGTTTCAAATTGAATTAATTGTTACGAGATATTTAGAAGAGCAATGATTAAAACATTCGTTTTGATTAATTTTTAAGAATCCAACATAATTAAAGACAAGAAATATTTCATTTGTTTTAAAATTAGTTTTGCCTCTTAAATGGCAACTCAAATAGTACACATATATTTTATCATGTTAAATTTCAAAATACAACCGAAAGTACAGAAGAGGATTTGAAATAGGCGAACTTGGTTGAATTCTATGCATCATCTTCGACTGTGTATTTTATTTCGTTTATTTAGTGAAACTAGACCAATTTTTACTAATGATGATGATGATGATGATGATACAATTTCAAAGACTCCAAAAAAGCTTACTTCATCTGAGTAATCCGAAAACAAGCTTCTTTTGTAATCAACGTAATAATTTTTTTTTTTATGCTTCCAAGAATACGCATTCATTTTACTCGATGTAAATATTGTGGTGAACGATGTCTTGGCAGCCAATTAACAGAACATAAGGTTTGAAAATCATTATTAGCTTATTTAATTTATATTTTGTTTTGTAGCAAACATGCTCATCAAGAACTCGGTATGTCAATCATTTTTATCCTATGAACGTTTATTGTGTCACATGCCAACTCTGTTACAATACTTTTGGTTCTTTGAAACACGATTTAAAAGGATTTTTGATGTATGTAGGGTAGAAACCGGGGCCCATTCCACTCATCCCCTTCCCCACGCAGGTCCTGATAGACATTTTAATTAATTATTTGACCTCACAGAAGGTTTTTACAGGCTATCGGAGATCATATAGAATTTGTATCCGATAGGAATATATATAGAATTTTTGTTTATTGAAGTTCTATATTGTAAAGTCAGCAATTAAGAAGGAATATACCAAGGAGTTGCATTAACAGCTTTTTCATCTACATAGACCCATTTTTATTGCTCATTGTGATTATTGTGGCCAACAATGTCTAAGCGATGAAAAACTAGCTCATGAGGTAGAGAGAATAATACTTAATATATAAGCATATATTTCTTTCGAAGCAATCTTGTCCAATGAAAATTCCAGCTACTGTGCATCAATCTCCAAAGTAAGCTAATAGTTATGTGTTCAAGATTAATTACATTCAATGTTGTTTTTTAATATAGGTTAGTTCGTTCAAAAGATAACAATAATGATGCTGGTCGAAACCGAAGACGTGAAAATAAAACTCATGATGTATGTAGATGATATTTTTGATTTCATTAATTTTTGTTTTCAAGAGACCGATTCGAATAAATCAGGAAACTGTTGCTTCAAATCCTCAACAGTATGCACACAATTATTCTTTTATGATTATAATGACATTTTAGAAATTACTTAATATAGATTTGTTCGTCTTACTCAATGCAGATATTGTCATCGTGAATATCCTTCAGCTGATATTCGAAAGCATGGAGTATATAGATACAAGCAATTGTTATATCGATTAAATTTTCTTTTTCTTTCTGCAGCAATCCTGCCCATTGAAGCCTCCTCGGATTAATCCACCAGATCCACTGTATGCAAAAAATTACTTTTTGAAAACTAGTATAACTATTGTATAATTTATTTTTCATTTAGACCAGTCAATGCTACATGCAGATATTGCTATGGACAGTTACCACAGAATGCAATTCAAGCACATGAGGTACGTTCGATTCATGTCATTTTATTAACATTAATCTTTTGTAGAATACATGTCGGCCATCACCACCGACAAGGTATGCACAAAATTATTTTCATATGTTTTTCAAATTTTTTTTCTTCAAAGATCACTCATGGATCGGTTATGTTTATGGATTAGTTGTTGCTGTGGAGATAACTGAATGTTCGACGAGAAGTGTCGTTGTATATATAACAGAAATGAAAAAATTTGTTCATAATTAGATACTTTGACACTTGCGCTTGTGAGATCATTCAATTAGAATAAGAAAAGCAAATTTTTATTTATTGATTTCAATCAATCCAGGAAACATTTTTTGTACAGGAATGTCTGTGTGGGATGTTTTTGAAGGGTAATACTGATACTGAGATCTCCTCCTCCCTCTCATCAACAGTCCCCATTTAGGAAGCTCATAATTTCAGAACTGAGAATCATTTTATTTCAGTGTTTGAGAGTGTGGAGTATGGGTGTGTGGGTGCAGTGAAAAAAATGGTACCATACAGAACTTAAAAAAGGTTCCGAATTTTGCAATGAAATCGAAACCTTTTCAAACTTTCATAAAAATATGGTATCGTGCAAAGTCGATTTTAACTCTTTTGGAGTCGGTGTGAATGTGAGTTTGGGCCAAGCGCAGAAATGGGCAGCTCCGACCATTTCTCGCTCCAACTCTGCTCCAGCTTCAGTCACTAATGAGTTGCTTCGCTCCGACTCTGCTCCATACTTGAAGATGTCTATCCCGAGTGGGTGTGGGTGTGGGTGTGGGTGGATGGATGTGGATCTTTCCTTCTTCATTTTCGATTCTGAGTGAACCCGTGGAGTTTCTACCACTTTGTGGAAGTAAGATATTCTGTGCCAATGTTTTGAAAGAAAGGTTTCTTTTCACTTTTAATAGTCTAGTGAGATGTATCATAGTTGAAAACGATCTGAGGCAATAATTAAAACTTTTTTGGACATATAAAATGTGAAGAACCACATCATTTTTAGGAACACTCCACACAAATAAAGGATAACTCATAATAACTGATGATATACTGTTCATTATATTTTTCATACTTTTTGTTGACATAGAGAGGTAAAATTTTTATCACATACATATCTAATCAAGATCTTTATTTTCTGAAATTTTCAGCTCTCTAGCTAAAACTAATGATGGAACACATCAAGTTTGCACTCGATTTTTCCAATAGTTTGACAGTAAAAATATGTAAAAATCAAGTACGAAATTTTATGTATTTCAGTCTTTTCGATGTATTTCACCATTAGTTGTTGCTAGAGAGCTGAAAATTTCAAAAATAAAAGATCTTGATTAGATACACATGTGATAAAAATTGCAGCTCTCTATGTCAACAAAAAGTAAGAAAAATATGATTAACAATTTATTATAGGATACTCTTTATGTGCGTGGAGTATTCCTGAAAAATGATTTAGTTCTCCACATTTTATATGTCCAAAAAGGTTCTAATTGTTGCCTCAGACCGTTTTCAACTATGATACATCTAACTAGACTATTCAAAGCAAAAAAACAAAAATTTTCCACAAAAATAGTAGAAATCCCATGGATTCACCCAGTAGCAGAACTAGAAAAAAATCTATAAGTACTAATGATACAAGTGTAAATGAATAAGAGAAAATGAATGAGTTACAGTAAATTTCTTGTGAATGAATTTTCTTTTGAAATATAATTTACTTTATACATTCGATAAAATTAGCTGATAAGTTTGGCAACTTGTTCATGACCTAATTGGTTTCATATCATTTTAATCCATTTTTCCTTATACTTCTTTCTTGGACTCATCCCTTCTTCAAGCAAAAACTTATTAATTCTTTGTTTAATATAATAAGAATATTATAAACTTGATGAATGCAATAATGATATCGATTTAAAGATTAGTAATGAATCTGATGCTTTTAGAGTATCGGAATAAGAAGTACAAGAAATATCTGTTTGACTTGTGGCTAGTGTTAACAACGTCGAATTAATAGCCGTTTTTGTTTTAACATCATTAAAAGTTCGTCTTTCATTCGATGAATGTTGTCTTAAATATATATATATATATATATATATTTTTTCATACAAAAAAATTCCTTAAAAATTCTATGGATTTAATTCATACGTATCCTCAATAAGATGAGCAAGACAAGATTTATCTAAACATAAAGTTTGCTCTCCTTAAATAGCAAAAGTTAAATATGATAATTTTTTTAGACGTGTCACTAAACATAAATTCAATCTTAATATCTATTTTGCCATATTTTCAAAATAAACAACGTGAATAATCCTAGAATAGTACGTCAAGAACTTCCTAATACAATAAATAATTAGCCATCAATATAGG